GCCACGGAGTGGAATGCCAGCCCCAGGGGGGAGCAGGAGTGTTATGGAACTGGGATGACAGGCCATGGAGTGGAATGACAGTCCCAGGGAGGAGCAGGAGTGTTATGGAACTGGGATGACAGGCCATGGAGTGGAATGACAGTCCCAGGGAGGAGCAGGAGTCTTCAGGAACTGGGATGACAGGCCACGGAGTGGAATGACAGCCCCAGGGTGGAGCAGGAGTCTTCAGGAACTGGGATGACAGGCCACGGAGTGGAATGCCAGCCCCAGGGGGGAGCAGGAACCCTGCCCATTGTGACCCATCCTTCACAGATTGAAAAGCCAATGTAGTGTGTGTGTTTTTTATTTATAGAGATTCTTGAAAAGCTTGGTTGTCTTAATGTGTTATCAGCAGTTTGACATATATTTCAGTCATCCACCCTGACCTGGATAGCGCAGGCGTGCCTGATCTCGTCAGATCTCGGAAGCTAAGTAGAGCCGACCCTGGCAAGTACTTGGAAGGGAGACCTCCTTGAAATATTAGAGCTCAGGATGCAGAGGCAGGACATCAAGCCACCTCTTTGACACGTTCAAACCCCTATGTCAGCTAAGCTGCCAATAGTATGATGTATGTTTCTCTTTCTTGTGCATTCCTTCTCTTGCACTTAATTGCCTCTTCGCTGCAGTGCATATCTCTCAAGGCCACTGGAGGAGTTGATGTGTCTAGAAATCGTGGGAAAATTCTCACCTACCCTGCTTCTGCAGCCGTTAGTTCTCAGCCAAATGCCTGCGTGCGGGAACCCACCTAATTGGGTACTATGTGTGTGTGGGGGTGTATACGAATGCCCTATATCCTATTATGCGCATAGGTAACCCGCCATTCCTAACAGTGTTCATGTTATCGCATCTATGGCTTTTCAATAAAAGTAAAACCTTCCTGGAAGCGTGTACTTCGTTGTCTTGCTGTGGGTCCTGACACCCAATAGGGTCGCCAGAAGTCGCCATGACTTCCAGGCATGCAAGCACACGTGCAGGGCCAGTGTATTCATAGAGGCAAGGTTAGGCAGTTGCTGATAGCGCCCCCTGAAGGGAGGGTGCAGCACTGGCCTGCCTCCGTGCGCTGCCCTTGCCAAAAGCCCTGCTACTACTAGGCTGCTCCACTCGTCGCCCTGTGCTCGTGACTCGTCAGTGGAACTGAAGCTGCAAACCGAGCAGGTGCACATTGGCGCCGCCGTCCATCTCAGCCTGCTGCCACTCTGCTGCGCCTCCCGCCCACTGCTCCCCAGAACACTCTCTCTGAGCAGCACATGGCAGAACCTCCACCCAAAAGGTTGGTTTGGTGCAAGCAGCGCAGCCTGTGAAAGAGGGGAGAGGGCAGTTGGTGCAGAGTGCCAGTGGGCGGGCAGGTACTCTTGGGGGGAGGGCAGCCTCCAGGCTGTGGGCAGCGCGGCCTCAGCATGGAGCTTCATGCTTCCAGGATGCTGGGCTGCTCTGGTTGGGGCCGCCGGAGCCAGTGCAAAACCGGTGTGCATGTGGGGGGATTTGGAGCAGCTGCTGCCCCTCGCCGTGCCATCAAGTCACAGACAACTTAGAGATCGGGCTCGCCTGGGCCACCCACGCCCAGGCCACTTTACTGGACAGGGTCCTAATTGTTTGCACTTTGTTCTTATCCATATTATCGCTTCTTATCTTCCCTACCACGGTCAGGCCTCATTAGGAGCACCACACACCCTGCTTGTCCCTTGCCACTGAAACCTGGGGTGATAAGGCAGTGAAGGCTGCTGGATCTCTCTGCTGACTGTGATGGTTCTGCAGCAGCAGCCGCCCCCGCAGCCAATGGCACCCTCCCAAGGCACTGCCTGTCCCCGACAGACCGACACTCCAGCCCAGGCATCACCGCCCTGTTTTATGGACGAGACTTTGCCCCCTGCTCAGCTTGTCAATCTGGTGCGGTTTCATTGGGGCTTCAGGCGCTGGAAGAAAATGCTGGGGAAATATTTCTCAAGCCCTTCATGCTAGTCACCCGCTTTCTTCTCCGGCAAAGTAAGAGACGTCTGAATTCCCTGAATTAGTTGAACGCTTTCTGCACTAGCTTCTCCGCTGCAGTGCTAGGCCTGCTTAGCTGGGGAAGCAACTAGGGCTTCCTTCCTTCTCAGTGAACGTTCAAAGGGTTTGGGTTGTTGGTGGGGAGAACCTAAATGGGGGGGGGGAATGGGAAGGAAAGGCTGGGGGGGTGTCAGGCTGCTGGACAGATTGTGTAAGGCCTGAAGTGGTATAGCCCACAGCAGGGGGCACAGGCGGGCTGTGAATCCTGCTTCCCTTGATCAGAGCGGTTGGTTCTGTAAGAGGGTGCCCTTTATCGGTTCTAATGTCATGAGAGTTTTGTACCCTCTGCCACTGAGAAGAAAGCCAAGAATGATGGCATTTTAAGTATGTCTCAATAGGAATCTGTGTTGATTCTCGCGTGGCAATGTGTTGTTAGGGGGCAGGCTAGAGGACTGCTCCGTTGGATGGACCATGAATGGTCTTTCTTTAGCTCATCCACTGTTAAGACTGCAGGCCTCTGCATGTAACCTTGGGAGTCAGCCCCACTCAATGCAGTGGAACCTACTTCTGAGAGAACGCACAGGATTAGAACCGTGCGTGAGAGACACGATCGATTTCTGCGTTTGACCCATTACTTATTCATTTATTTCATTTATACCCCGCCTTTCTCCCCGTGGGGACCCCAAGCAGGTGACATAGTTCTCTTCTCCTACATTTTATCCTCACAACAACCCTGTGAGGTAAGTTAGGCTGAGAGGGTGTGACTGGTCCAGGATCGGCCAGCGGGCTTCCATGGCAGCATAGCGGTTTGAACCTGGAACTCCCAGAGCCTAGTCCAGCACTCTGGATCCCACTACATCACGCTGGATCCAATGGTCAGTGTGTGCACATCTGCAAATGATACGTGGTGTCAAATATGTTTCATTTACAGTTCAACCCATTTCACAGGGTTGTTGTGAAGATAAAGATTCAGAAGGGCTATGTGAGGCTGCCCTGAGCTCCTTGGGGGAAGGGCAAGATAGAGATGCAATCGATAGAATGATAGCAAGTCACTGAGGAGGCAACATGATTTTTCAAAATAAGCAAACAATGACAGGGGGATTTCTGTAAAAGACAGAGCATAAGAGCAGGTGAATGAGGCCTGCCAGGCACTGGTCTTTTCCCTCACCTTCACCGTGCATCACTGTTGGGTTTTTTTTTTAATTATTCTGCATTTCCCCTGCTATCACCATGCCTGTTTGCCACGTTTTCTTTTTCGTTCTGCACTGTTCCCCTCCCCCCTTCAGTGTTCAGTTCGCTTTCCACTCGCAGTTTCCCCAGGGTTTCTCAGAGTGGTTTTGTGGTGGTCTTTCCCCTCACTTCACTTCAAAGCCATAAAATGGAAAAAATAGCTGCTTTAGATGGTGAACTTTATGGTATTACTAGGAGCAAAGCCTGTTGTGGAGGAAGACAACGAGCCCTGGAAAGATGTGATGCAGGTGCCTCTGGTCCCCTGCATGACCCCCCGGAGTTGAGTGAGGGAGTGGCGTGTGACCGGCTTTCCACCCGGGCGTATCCACTGGCCTCCGGGCCACCTCCAGCAGTCTCCAGCCTGGCGGCGCACTGGCCCCCATCCAGTCAGAGTTCATCCAGCTGCCAGTAGTCGGGCTCGGATGACCGTGGCGGCGGCAGCAGGAGAATCGGGCTCAGCCTGAGGGTCCCCCTGCACACCAGAGTGCCCGATGCGTCCGTCGTCCAGTGGCATCGTGGGCGGCCACCTGTAGCCGGGCTCGGGTGAGGATGACCGCAGTGGCTGCAGGAGTGGGCCGAGCCCCCTCCCTCCCTCTGCTGGAGCACCTAGCCCATCCGCTGTGCAGTCGCACACATCCCGGGTGGCTACCTGCGCTCAGGCAAGGACGACCGCGGCGGTGGCACAATCAGTCTCAAGCCCCCGTCCGCTGGAGCATCTGACTCGTCTGTCCGCTCCAAGGAGAGTGAGGCCGAGATGCTGGGTGCCGCCTCTGTGGGCAGGGCCACAGCAAGGGAGGCAGTAACGCAGCCAGTGGAGACAGATGCCCTGCAAGTAACACACCTGGGCGCCAACCAATTCGGGAGCATGTGGAACGTTCTGGAGAGTGCCACCACCAAAAGGCTTTTATATATAAGGAGAGATACCTGGCTGAGGTCCCACCCCCATTTCCACCCTCCCCAGGCTTCACCCCCAAATCTCCAGGAATGTCCCAACTGGAGTTGGCAACTCTGGGAATACAACTCTTTCTGGTCCCATTCTTCGGCTTCACATGCTCACTGTGAGGTGAGGGGACCCGTGTGCTGCTTCAGGTCACTGCTGATCTTGACACCCCCCCAACTGAGTGAGAATGCACCGTACCTTTGGGCTGATTCTTCCTTTGCCTCCATAGCAGGTCTGGCTCAGTCTTCCGCTCCAGTCAAAGTTTTGGGGTGCTGCCCTATTGGTCCTTCTGGATCTTAGGACTCAAGCTAAGATGGTTGTTTCCTTTCTTTCCAAAGATCTCCAAAAGACTTTCCAAGAGCTGAGATGGGATCCTATCAGTGCACCACAGTCCAGATCCATTTCCTCTTTCTTGTTCTGGCAGAAGGCACCACCAGAGTCTACTATCTGGGGATCCGTGAGGTGGAATGGAATTACGCTCCATTACAAAAGAATGAAGTCATGGGACGGAGCTTTACAGATGACCCGTAGGTTCCACTTCTCTTCGAAAAGAGTAGGAGGCTGCTTAGAGATAATAAATGGACCAGATCTTTGCTGACTTAATGTGTAACTTCTTGTATCTCAGGCATTTTTCATATTGTGAATTCATAGTGCCTTAAGAGAGCTATGCCAAGGGGAACACGCAGACTATTATAGTTTACTTCCACGTCTGATACCTTAGCCTGTTACTGTAATTCATGGCATTTTTTTTAGTGCTCAGAGTACCCTTTGCATACATTACCTCAGGGCCAAACAGACATGCTGCTTTTAAAGAGTTCCTCTGCAGTCATGCAGCAGCTGTGGGGAATGTCTGTTTAAAAATAAAGGAAAGCCCATTTGGGCCTGGAACACTGCTGTGGGGGGGGGTCACTCATCCCTTCCCCCCCCCCGGCCATTTTCCCATGCACAAATGTTGGGGGGGGGGAGTTTCCCTGTTTTTGCTGCCCCATGTGTAATATTCTGTGCATGTGGAGCAGCAGAAATGGGGAAATAACTCCCGCCCATCTAGGGTTGCCAAGTCTTCTTACCTTGGCAGCGGGGGAGCCTCACCGGGCTCCAGGAGCTCCTCGGCGGCGCGCCGCCAGCATGTCACAGGAAGTGTCGTGCTACGTCGCTCACGTTGAGGGCATGGCCCAGATCGTCAGAAGGAAAACCATAGAGTTTTCCCTCTGACGATCTGGGCCACGCCCCCAACGTGAGTGACGCGGCTGCGTCACGCTGCACTTCGGGGGGGGTGGAGTTCCCCCCGGGGCCCGATTCCGTGGCGGTGGAAATCGGGCCTCCAAAGCGGGGGTTTCCCCGCCCCCACTTGGCAGCCCTACACCCATCTGTCATATTAGCTGATGCAAAAATGGCCTGGGGGGGGGGGGCAAGCTATTCGTCCTCCCATGGGAGCGTTCCAGGCCCAAAGGGGCTCTACTTTCCTTTTCCACAGACATTCCCCACGGTGTGTCTGAGAGGAAACAGCTGGGTCTGGGTAACTCTTTATCAAACAGCATGTCTAGCTTGGCTCTGTTGGCCAGCCCTGAGGAGGAGCTCGCAGAGGCTGAGAGAAGTTTGTGGTGTGGCAAGATGTGAACTGAGGTGTTCCAGAGTCCCAGCTCAGTCAGTCCAGCTCTGGCTGGGGCGGTGCCTGAGGAGGGCGGAGTTTGAGGAGGGGAGGGAGCTCAGTAGGGTATGATGCCGTCGGGTCCACCCTCCAGAACTGCCATCCCCTCCAGGGGGGAGCTGATCTCTGCAGTTTGGGTATCAATTGTAATTCCAGGAGATTTCCAGGCCACACCTGGAAGTTGGCAACCCTACTTTCCTGACACTCGCAAAGTATTTTTCGAAGGCGGGTGGGACCAGGTGGGGCTTTGGCCCAGCCAGCCTTCTGGTTGGCAACTGGATATTTGATTGGCTGTGCAGATTTTTAGAAATGTTGTTTTGGCAGCAGCTGCCAGGTGGGGCCTGGAGATCTTCCAGCATGATCACTGACTTTCAGGGGGTGGGGATCATTTTCCCTGAAGAAAAAGGCTGCTTTGGGTGGTGGATTGTGGTATTATTTACACATTGCAGAGGTCCCTTTCCAGGCCCCACGCCTAAATCTTCAGGAATTTCCCTACCTGGATTTGGCAACCCTAGCAGACTACGCATGGGCTACTGGCCTGGCCATTCCTTGCCAGAGGCTGAGGTTCTTGCAGAGCTTGCTAGCCCGGGTGGATCTCTAAGGACCCAGCAAGGTACTGCTCAAGCAGCCAGTGTGCTCATTCAGCGTGCATGTAACACCGGAGGGTTATGCCTGAACTCTTCTGCCCTTGGGGACATTGAGAGCACATCACTGAGCAACAGGGATTAGCTGAAATAGAAGTAGCCTGAATTCAGTTCACTCCCACTCAGAAGTATCACTGGATCCTGGGGATCTATCCCTTTCTCCCACCATTGTTCTCTGCTGCTTGTGGGTAAAGACTTTTTTGGTTTGTTTCAGATTCCCTCAATAATTCTTATTAGTCATCCTCTCTGCTGTGCGTATTCAACTGATTAAATAATGGGTGTGCCTGTATATATGGGGGGGGAGTTGTATTTTAAACACTGTTTTTAATGTTCTGAAATGGTTTTAGCGTTTGAAATATTTTAATGTTCTAATGTTCGCCAGCTTGAGGATTCTGAACTGAGTGGAAAGGTGGCTTAGAAATGTTTTCAATGAAATCAATATATATTCTGGTTTAATTTTTTGAACCAATTTAGAGTTGCCAACTGTCCTGGAGAAAAAAATGCCCTGTCCCTTTAATAGAAGCTTGATGTGATATTAGTAACCATCAAACAATCTTTATTTGTTACTATCATAGATCAGCCAATATTGATACACAGAGAGTGTCATCAGGACATCTGCATACAATTAAAAAGGCTGATTTCAGTAGTGCAGATATAATGAATAAAAAGGCTTGACCAGCTGCTTCCTTGTTGGAGTTGTTCAGCAGTGGAATGGGTTGCCCGGGGAGGGGGTGAGCTCCCCCTCGCTGGCCGTCTTGAAGCAGTAGCTGGACAGACACTTGTCAGGGATGTTCGCGGCTGATCCTGCACGGGGCAGGGGCTGCGGGACCAGATGGCCTGCAGGGCCCCTCCCAACTCTGTGTGATTCCATGATTCCTGTTGGCCACACTGAGGCACAAAATTTGGCCACCTTTAAAGGTGGTTTTGTTAGAACAATCTGAGAGGAGGAAGGATGTCTATGTATGTTATTTTCCATATGATGTTTTGCCACTATGCAACAAAAGTCTTCAACTGCCCATTTCCACACATTAAGAGCCTAGGAAAGAGGCTGCACAGTTTTCCTTCCGGACCTTTTGCAGCCCTAGAACGATTATGCCCTGACCTGGACAGGCCAAGGCGAGCCTGATCTCAGAAACTAAGCGGGGTTGGCCTAGTTCAGTCCTTGGAAGGGAGACCACCAGGGTCGATATGCACAGGCAGGCCGTGTCAAACCAACTCTAACCTCTCTTGCCTTGGAAGCCCTATGGGGTGGCCTGGCCATAAGTTGATTGTGACTTGACAGCATTTTACACATACACTACAGCACACACACAGACCCCAGCCCTGACCCGAATAGCCCAGGCCAGTGTTCCCTCTAAGCTGAGTTAGTGTGAGCTAGCTCACAGTCTTTTTGCCTCTGGCTCACTCATTTTTTGTCTTAGCCCAGGAAGGATGGCACCGGAGCAAACTAATTGATGCAGCAGTGAAATTGCTCGCTCACAACTTTAATGCCAGTAGCTCACAAAGTAGAATTTTTGCTCAGAAGACTCAACAGCTTAGAAGGAACATTGGCCCAGGCTAGCCCGATTTCAGAAGCTAAGCAGGTTCAGCCCCGGATAGTTCTTGGATGGGAGCCCACCGAGGGAGCCCAGGGTCTCTAGGCAGGGGCAGGCAAGGGCAGACCGCCTCTGAAGGTTGGTTGCCTTGAAAACCCTGCAAGGTCGCCATAAGTTGGCGGTG